CTAGGATTAAATATATGTATTTAATACAATATGGAAACAACACGGACAACACGTGAAAACAGCTCAATGCCACGGAGGTATTCTTACATTCACTCTTCTTAAAAATACCTTAACCTACGCTGAAAATTCTAGATACTAGAATATTAAATTCCTTGTTTCGCCGCGTTTCATCGACCGGGGACTAAGAGCCTCTCGAGGGGTTAAATAATCTTTCTCCCGTGCCATAACACTACCGGCTCTAGAAGACAGACGGATAATCGGTGCACGGGAAACACGGCATTCACCCCTCGCGCTGGCCAAGTGCCATAGAAAAGCAAGTACAGGTGGTCCTACGGAATCCTTCGAGTTCGCGAGAGATTTTTATTGTTACGGGGCATACTGCCGGAGACAAAGGGTCGGCCCGTCTATTTGCGCCGAGGCCCGGGCCGCGTCTGGAGGGAGCGCAACATCGTTTCGGCTCGCGGTAATTCAACGCTCGCCCCGCGCGCTGTTTCCCGTTGACAACCGGGACTCCGCGCGCTATCGCTTTAATCGTTTCAACGCTACTCTACCGTGTCCTCTCGGTCTTTTGTTCGCCGAAGAGGGTCGAATTAATGCAGACTTTCCATTCGCCGTTCGGCGAATTAGTCGTTCGCGAAAAAATCGACGGGAATAAAAGGGAGACAGGCCCGAAACGGGTCGCCTCGTTACCGCGGCGCGTAACGAACCGTGACGGATTGTTCGCCGTTTCTTTCGGGGACGAGTCCGAGCGCACGGCGGATCGACGCTCTCGCGGGTAATCGATGGTGAATTATATACACGGAATTAAGTGCCGACGCTCGCGATTACTTGGTCCGACTGTACCCGGGAACGCTGGGCAAACTCGGATTACCCGAGGAGATAAGTAAAACTTGACTGCGCTCGAGTCAAAGTTCCACGGAAACAATATTCGAGGCAGCGCCGGGGCACCGAGTGCCAATCAGTCCAGCGGATTGTCGATAACTGCGGAGAAAAATGGATCGAGGAACTTCGCAGATTGCTGAGAGGTGGTCGCAAGGGCGCCGATCAAACTGATTAGTTCCTACTCCTTTATGGAAACTATGAAACTGCGTTCGTTCGATTGACTTGTACCTTGAGCCGTTTTACCGTATCTTTCTGAAGCAGCCTATGGCAGAAAATGTCTCGTCGGAGCAATCTGGTAGATCGTTACACGCTGGGATGATCAGAGGATTCGCGGATGCCTATATAGAATCGAGTGCTACAAGCGAGAAGCGTAGATATTCTACCCCTCTATTGCCACAGTGCTAGCTGCCGCGACATTTCCAATAATCACCAAGGAATCATCAATGAGTGACGCTGAGCCATTTCGTAGTCCCAGCGTAAAGGCAACCGAGAGGCTGCGGAGGAGGAGCCCTAGAAAACGCGAGTAATCGGGAAGAAGGTCGCGGAAGGGAGGAAGCAACCGCGGCAGGTGAATGAAACGAGAGTAATGCGACCAATTAGTAAGAATTAGCATCGAGCCGTTGGCTGAGCAGAGCGCCGCCTTCCCCCGCCTTCGACTTCGCCGGTAAAATAATTACCGAGCGTCCCTTCACCCACTCGCCCCGTCTTCTTTCCCCCTGTCCCCCCGCCGCCGCCGCCGAAGCCGTCTAACTCTTTCCCGGTTAAATGATTCCTCCGCGCGCTAGCGGAGCCGCTGGCTGCGACGCCGGCAGCCGAGCCACCTCGAGAGAAGCTGAAGTAATCCTGACGAACGATCAGAACCGCCCTGGCGTCCCGGTGTTCCTCCCGTATTCCCGACGCGAAGAGCGCGCGACCCTCGCAACGTTGCCTGCACACTCGAACGCACCGTTCCGCCAGGCGAAGCGGCTAATTTGTTGCCTCCGGCGAAACAATGCGCGGCTAATCCGGGCGCCGAGTAATCGCCGAGAAATGATAAGCGATGAGGCGAATTTGTTTTCGGCGACTCCGCCGCGAGATTCGCTCGCGATTGATGGAGGTTGTTTGCCGATGCTCCTCGGCGTTCCAGATCGACGGACGATGCCCGAGTGTTTACTTACCGAGTTCCCGGTCGACCGATGTTGATCGACGAATTCGAATTTGACGAGTGGTTGCCAACGCGATCGTGCAGCCTTTATTTTAAGTTCCGAGCGCGCGGTTTCTTAGGGCGATAACTTGCAGTAATAGTACCGTAATTAGGAGAGCAATATTACAGTTCCCAAAGCATTATTGTAATTTCCAAAGCGATACCGTAGTTCCCAAAACAATATTCTAATGTCCAAAGCGATACGCCGGCTCCCCGGGCGATAGTATATTTCCCAAAGCAATACTATAATTTCCGAAATGACCGTAAGACTCGCTCTTGGAAACTACGGTTCACAAGCAGCTGGAATATATTAGCATAAGAACGATCGGGCGAGACGCGAAGAGAAAAGCGTGCCGATGCAACGAACGAGCCGTGAGACGAAGTCGGGCGAGCCTGTTCCTTGGAAACAGACAAGATAAAATAGTAATAGGAGGAGACAGATGCGGAAGGAAATCGAGAACAACGTTCCGCCCGTTCCTAAGACTGAGCGGGTAATTTGTTCCCTCGGGATGTACCGCTAATCCGTTCCGCAACCGGCGAAATTGTTGACTCTAATAAATGCGAGCCGCTTTGTTGTCCGCTCCGCGCGCTGCGCAAGCCACGCTGCGGGAACACGGTTCGATAACAACGCTCGCGGTTTCCGACGATGTAACCGTTCCGCTTGGTCCGTTCTCGTTCGCGAATCAACCCTTTATCGCTGAGTCTGTCTGTGTTTTTCAATTGAACAATTCCGTTGCGATTCTTGCGATTCCTTTAAGTTCACTCTCGCCCCGGTTTCGATGAACTCAAAATAACCCTTGTTTACCATGTCGTTCGTTCGTTCGTTCGTTTAATCATTGCTAAGCAAAGTTGGGGTTTTAATATAGAGTTCAAACTCGGAAATCGTTTTAGACCGGCCATCAATAATTCAAACATATTCATTTACCGACCAACGGGGAAGGTTTCGCTTCGACTAAAAATATTTCGAACCGTCGTAAATAATCGTCCTATTTACCCGACACTCGGTGTAAGACATCGATCCATTATTCATTACAACAAACCGTCCTTCGAATTTGACGTTATCCATTCCCGAGTGCGGCGAGTTAAAAATACAATCGAGAGACGAATCCTGAGACCGCGCAAATCACCGAGAAACAAAACCGTTCTTAATTATATGCTAACAACCGATCCCGCGGGAGGGTGGGGGCGGGAGGAAGGTTTCGACTTTGCAGCTCGAGTCAGTCAACGCGACCAAGTTTCCGGCGGCTTCAATTACCGAGAGTCCTTTAATTAATTTCTATTATTAGCCGCCGCGGTTGCCCCGGGGGAAAAAACAAAGGTGAAATACGAGGGGAGTCTTGGCGGGAAGGAAGCCGGTCCTCAAAGAAGATTCAACTCCCCCGGAAGTTACGCCAACGTCGCCTGATTCAGCAACATTGCCAGAATTCGAGAACCAACGGTGAATTTATTATTATGCATTTATGCAGATCGAAATTAATATCGGGGTCTGCGGCTCCGATTCCTGACCTATCCCTCATTCTTCTTCGGCCCTGCCCCTTCCGCGTCTTCTTCGATTCAAGCGAACAGGACATCCATCGAAACTCCGAACCCCTCGCCGTACGGTCCTCTTCGCTCCGCTGATTTATTTGATTATTAATATTAAACAATACTGACCCTTTGCACTCGAAAGTTTTTCACTGGAAATACTCAACACTTTCCGACGAGATATAGTCGACATTGTTTGAAACTTATTCAACGATAATTCACAGATGAATTAAGCAACGAAGCTATTTTATTTAAGTGGTTCACACGGCAATACAAAGTTTCATTTAAAGTACTAAATATTCAAGTTCATAGTTTCGCTGTATCAAATCAAGCGGTGACTGAAAGTCACCTCTCGAGTGCAAAGGGTTAATTATTTCGCTGCAGCCAGTAGGATATCCACCGAATAACTCATCAACGCTAGAACTACCAGACGAGTGAAGATGACCGATTTCAAGATTCCTGTTTCGCTATTGTTAAGATAACAAAGGTGGTTTCACAAGAAACTTGCAAGCACAGCAATAGGAAGCTCTTCGAGTCTTAAGAAATCTCGTTTTACCCTCTGCGGACGAATGTCGATATTTCGGTCAGATGAAATTTCCATACTTGGAATATTAAATTGCAAACGAACGATTTAATTACTTGAATAGCAAGTGATCAGTGTATACTTCCCCTTTTTCACTATTGTTTAAGCATTCGATGTATAATTTAGCTTCATACGTTGCAAGCTTCGTGCACTTTAAAGAGTCTTCGTCCGCAAAGTGTTAATTTTTGTCACAAGTTACAAACAGTCTTACTGTTCGGTAGTTCTAGCGTTAAAAACGAAAGGATTCCAAGCTCCTCGTACGTCGACGATCGCTCTAAAGCTCGCCAATCGCTGACAGACGGACAATATTAAATTTCCACCGAAAACGATTCAATGACATTCGGCACAGGCCAGTTTCCGATATTTCTCCCGAACGCGGCACGACGTTATTTACCAAAGGGTTACGTCCAGCTGGAAATCCTCGATTTCCGTTAAATCGAATCCGAATCCTCTAAAAGCCAGCACGCAGAAACGCTAGT